CAGCGGCGGCAAAAACACCCAGTGGGCCAGATAAATGTCCTTGGTGGCTGCATGTGGCCCGCGGGCCGTAGTTTGAGGACGCCTGAATTAGGACAATAAGAAATGGATAGAATGAATGAATACCAGGAAGGTTTAAAAAGTTGGCTAACATTGTGAATACTTTCTCATCCTAGATTTTTAAGAATGGGACAGATCTTTTAAAAAAAAAATAAAAAGGAATGGGAAAGATCTAAGTTTGATTAAAACACCCCTCTCCTACTTAGAGAGGAAAATTACCTCAAATTCTGTAAGTATATAGAGAAATTAGAGCCACGGTTGAATAGTGGTTTTTTCTTAGTGATGGGAATTCTAAGTAATGTTCATCTCTTCTTTACATGTTCCTGTGTGTTACATATTTTCTGTATTATAATCAAGATTTTTTTTTCCTTTAATCACAGTTTATTTTAACTCCAAGAGAAATATGCTGTTTTGACACATTTCTTTAAGTGGAGGGATTTTATGTGTATGAATTTTTCTAGTTGAGTCAACAATATAAGATTTTAAACAAGAGTGTGACTGGAAGACAATTCATTACTATAGTCCTTTTAAAAGTACAATAGAATGAAGACGGGTTAGTTTCTGAGGACCTTTTAGTTACTGAAATTTAGTCTGTGACAATAGCCAAGCAAGTTAGATTAGGGTTTCTTAGCAAAAGTAGAAACTTCTAGTTAATACCCTCACCAGATTTTTATTACTGTGCCGCCTTTGACTGAATAAATTGCCAAGAACTTTCAAAACATGTAAATACAAGATAAAAGACAGTGGTCAAGGGTTTTAACCAGAATGCTCTGCTGAAAGGGTGTGGATCCTCTCATCATGCTTGTATTGTAACCTGTGCTGTTTGGGGGCGGCTTTCACGGAGAAAACTGAGCCAGGTTGCCAGAGGCTGAGACCAGGTGAAAGGAAGCAAAAGCCTTATTTGTTTTTCAGCTATAATAGGCGTAGTAGAAGTAGGTAGAGTCCAGAACGTGTACATTCCTCGTAGGTGCAATAAAGCGGTAATCCACAGGTTCCAAGTGGCACTGCTCAGGTGTTGACTTTTGTGATAATGCTTTAAAAATTACATTTTTGATTACTGGCAACAGGACTAGGTGGGTTTTATCTTACAAGAAGATACACACAAAAGGGTACAGCAGATAATGATGTGGTGATGAAATTTTGTCAAAATGACATTTTCTGCTACGAAATATCACGACAGGTGTAGCATTTCTTCTGGGTTCAGAAGTTATTCCCCAAGGGTGGAACTAGAGAGAATGTACCAAGGAAGATCACCAGGGGATGTTTGTCTGCTCTTAAGGAAATGTATTTGTTTGTGATTGTTTGTTTCCAGCGACACATGGGTTTGGGGATTTGGAAAACATTGTAGCAATGTCTGTGGTTTTTTTTGTGTTTGTTTCCTGTTACAAATGGGCTTTGGGATTTGGAAAACATTGTAGCAATATCTGTGTTTTAATCTTTATCTGTGTTTTTTTGTGTTTGTTTCCCGTTACAAATGGGTTTTGGGATTTGGAAAACATTGTAGCAATATCTGTGGGTGTGGTTGGCATCAGTCTATTGAGGTAGTAGAGAGAAATGCTTTAAATTCATGTCTGCTCATGTTTTGGGGGGTGCTTATTCCCGTCTTCGTCATTGCATCTGTCACTCAGTGGATGTTTACGGGATGGAATGACTGCAAGGGGCCGGTATGAGAATTGCATTTTTTCTTTTTTATACATATTCTTAAGTTACACCAATATACATATATACGTATTTGTCTTTTTCAAACCAGATGATTTATTCAAGCTCAACCATTCTTGATTGCAGACACATTGAGGGAGGGATATGGGCAGATGACCTTTAGTCTCATAAAGCATAGGTTGAGATCTGTCTATGAAGTTATGAGACTTCCTTTCCGACAGACTCATCAGAGAGCAGCTGTCAGGAACAGCTATGGTTTTGGAACTTCCGTTTGGGAGTTCTTGGCCTTAGATAATATTTCTTACTGGGAAACGTCACCCCACTACAGAGCTTAATCAGTCCCATTATTCACCATATTTGGCTCTCAAAGCTTTTTGGCTGTCTCCAAAGATCAAACATGCCCTCAAAGGGCTGAGACTGGCTGCTATAGAGACCTTTCAAAAGAACACACTCAAAGCGGAGAGGGCAGTTGCGGGAAAGAAATGGGAACTTGAGAAGGCGTTCCAAAGATGCCACCAACAATGCCGCATGACCAGAATAAGTATGCAGCCCCACAGTGGCCACTGCGACTCTGTGCAGGACAGTCCTCACGGAGGATGTCCGTACCATTACTTGGCTGATAAGCTTTACGTGCATACACACAGAAACACACCCTGTGCAAAGTTCAATAGGTGTGAGCTTCAGGCTGTCCCCTTAAATTTTTCCGGTCCTGTGTCGCCTGTGGGCTGGCTGCCTTCTGTCCCCCCTTCTGTTCCCACCTGGGCCCCTGTGAGCTTGCGTCACTTCTTCATAGGTTCCTAAGTTGTAGGTTGGTCAGGACCTTCATTATCATCCCTGAAGGCTTTGAAAAGTAGTATACTGAGACTCTGGAAGGAAGATGCAGATGACAGCAATGTGTCTTTTGTTTCCTTCTCTTTGAGTGTCCTTTTTGACAATGACAGGAATGATTTCCCAGTGGCCCAAAGCAATAAGACTTCAGGGGGTACTGAGGCCACATTCCCCTGACAGGGACCCCGTCCCCTGCCCCAGTGTGTCCGTCCGTGCAGGTTGGCTCAGGTGGTGTTAAAGCTGGGTGGGGTTTATTCCTGGGCCAGGCTGTTCCTGCAGCCCTTCCAGAGGAGAGCCAGAGATGCAGAGAAAAACACATCTAGTGCTCTTTGCTTTCCTCCTGTTCTTTATTTGGCTGTTTCTTTGTTGGTCACAAGTCCTTTGTTTAATAAGGTGGCCTTCCTGCCTAGTTTTAGGCCCAGAGCCATGAGGCTGTGTGAAGCCTTTCTGGGAGGAACATTTCATTGTGAGTTCAGGAGAAACTCCACAGTAAATACTTATTAAGAAGTCTGGAGAATGTCCCGGAATACCGCTGGGCTTCTGGAAGGACGGGCTTTCCTCTCCCTGTGGAGATAACGCAAAGTGGATCTTGTTTCTCTGGCAGTTCAGGGCGAAGGCTGCAGGGCTGCTGCTTCCTGGGTGTTTCCACGTTATGCCTCCCTGCCAAGTCTTCACTAGCTAATTCAAAAATAGTCTGTTTACCTGTCCTTTATTTTAAAATGTCAGAAATCTCATAAAACGAGAGTCCTTATTTGGCAAAGTTACCTGAAAGCCATTGTTAGTAGGACACGATGGCCGATCCTGGCCACTACCCTTCCCTTCAAGAGCAGAGAGAAAGAAAACAAGTTCCCCATCCACACTTCTGTCTTGTGAACTCTGTCCTCCTCACAGAGCATGCTCTGTTGTCTGGCTTCAGCATGAGGTCAAGACCCGTAGCTGGTTGTTCAAGGTTCTTCACCTCCTCCCTTTAACACTTGCAGACTTCGCTCCTTCCACCTCTCCTCACATGCTTTGCGATTCAGTGACGCTACATACTTAGCCCACCAGGGCATCCCGTCCACGGCCCCCACCCTGTTATACTCGGCCGTTTAATCAGGTGCCCCCACGCTCAGCGGGAACTGGCTTCTCCGTCATACGTTCAGCTCGTGTTTACTGAGTGCCATGTTCTGGAGATACAGCACGTTTCCATATCCCCAAATAATTATTTTTCTTGTAAACCAAGCCAAATAGATCAGTGAGGTGCTTCTGGCTGGAAATATTCTTTCCTTCCCCCATGTCCTGTGTCTAGAGCTTCTCTTCTTCCCTATGTGCTTATCAAGAAGTTTACTGGTGCCTCCTTTGCAATTTATGTATTTATGAACGTAGCTTGCCTTCTTTTCTGGAATGTCTAAAAGGCAGTTCTCATAGCAGAATTCAACTTCATACCCTCCGTAGCATGAATGCAATTGCAGACTCAGTCAGCAGGTAGATACCGATGATCTAGTCTGGGTCGAATGCTCTGCAGGGCACTCGACAAGTATTGATATTTATAGATAAGTTGTGAATGCATGAAAAATACGGCCCTCCGAAGGGACTACCTATTACAATTCTTGAGAGTAAAAGATGCTTTATAAGGTTGTAAAAGGGTCTTCTCACTGAAGGGGGATTATGAGTAATGTCCTTTTGAGATTTGCCTTCTTGAGTTTCATAGAGGAAACTCTGTGCTTCTGCCTAAACATCATCTTCTATTAAGCCTAAATCTGAATCCCCCTCATTTTTTCCTCTTATTTAATGATTAGTTAGATTTGTTTTCCTTGGGTCTCCTTTTGCAGGTAAAATTCTCATGTCAACCACAGCAAACAAGCAAGCGAGGTGATGGTTACGATAATCGGTTCAGTGTAAGCATAGCACACTGTTTACCAATTCAGCACATTGTACCCCATCACTGCATTAATGGACACAGTCATGATTTAATACAGAAAAAAACATTCTCATGTCAAACAATGCCACATTCGAAACTGATTTCAGGTTTTGTAACATTAAGCTCTGCAACTTCAAATGCTGAAATCTGTAGCTGACTTTTACCCTGACTGCAACCTGCCCACCATATTTTATAGTTGTACACTAACTACAGTGCACTTTTTGTTTCAATCATAGCATCAACGAATTTTGTATATTTTGCCTTGCCAGACCTCTGTAAAGTCTGGATCCTGTGGGTTTGTGTGTTGATCTGATTTAATATTGGCTACTTTTAGTTTGTGATTGCTTTAGACTCTTGCATTTGGAAAGATATAAAAAGTTAAATACAGTTTGTTGATTTTTATTTGGGTACACGGTACTGCTTGTGCCTGTAACTTCAGTTTATCTGACGCTTTAAAAACAAAGAGTTCTTTAAAAAAAAAAAGTAGAGTTCTAAAAGAGCGCGTTGTGAGTTTTGAGATGTCTGTGGTGATGAATTCTTTCGTTTTCCTTTTCAGAATGAAGACCTTAATGACCTCAGCAAATCCTCCTCTAACTCATGGGTACCCAGACTCTAAATATTTCATGATTCACAACTAGGACCTCATATTTTTCTCCTCGGTAGATGGTACGATGCATCCGTTTCAGTTTGTTTACTTTCTACAAGCCTCAGGAGTTCGTTGACTGAACTGCGCGTTCTATATTGTGCCAAGCAAAAAAGCACTGTGACACCAGAACGATGAGTCTGCATAAACTTCACCTTCACCCATAAGGACGCAGCTGGCCGCAGTGAGCTGATGTGCCCACCACCGTGCCACGGGAGAAAGGCTTTCCTCCCTCTGCATCTGCAAGATACATTTCATCTGTTGCTGAAACTGTGTATGACAAAGCGTCCTTGTAAATTATTTCATAGAGAACTGTTCCTGTCGGGTGGAGAGAGTATTAAATATTTAACATAGGTTTTGATTTATATGTGTAATTTTTTTAATGAAAATGTAACTTTTCTTACAGCACATCTTTTTTTTGGATGTGGGACTGAGGTATACAATGTTCTGTTGTAAAGAATGGAGCAAATGCTTAAAACAAGGCTAAAAAGAGTAGAATAGGGTATGATCCTTGTTTTAAGATTGTAACTCAGAAAAATAATAATATAAGAATCATAGTGCCATAGATGGTTATCAGTTGTATAGTTATATTTGCTGATACTATCTCTTGTAATATAAACCTGATATCGAGCTGAGTTCCTTATAAGAATTCATCTTAATTTTGTATTTTTCCTGTAAGACAAATAGGCCGTGTTAATTAAACTGTAGAAAGGCGTATTCTGCTGGGTGTTTTCAACTTAAAATTGGCGTTTGAGTGGAAGCAAAATTACAAGAACAGGAATTCAAAGTCTTCCATCGTCAATACTGCAAAGAGGAGGGGTGATTCCTTCAACTCGAAAGCTCTCCTTGGAATGAACAATGTGGGTGTTTGTAAATTCTGGAAATGTCTTTTTATTCATAACAAACTAGACACTGTTGCTCTTTCCTGCTCTCCCCTCCCCTCCCCTTTCTGGAAGCTTCTCGCTCTATTCCCACCGTTTTTTTCCTGCACACACATTATGCCATTTCATTTCCTGCATTGTCTTGAGAAAGATAGGAGGACAGGTGAGTGCTTGCTGTCCGGAAGGTGCGGGGGTTTTGGGTTTGTTTTATTTATCATGACCAGGGCCACATGTCACTTTTCCTCAAGACCCTTACCTCTAGTTTTCTGAGAACCTCCAGTGTTAACATTATTTCTCGGAATGTGATTGGCCTGTTAGCCTTGGTGGGTGTTGGCCTCATAGTGATTAGTGAATGAAATGCAGCGAGGCCTGCAGAGAGCACATGCGGCTCAGTGAGCGCCTACGGAAACGTCCAGCCCCAGCCGGCCGTGAACTCGGTCACCCTTTTCTTGTTTGGAAAGTGTATGTACCTTGCAGTTTTTCCTTGTGAAAAAGAAATGGCAATGAAAACCTTTCAAGATGTTGCCAAGAGAATTTTTAATGTTTTTAACCAGGAAACATCCTAAAGGTTAAGTGAATTAATGAAAATATCAGGCTTCCTCCTAATCAGCATAAACTCTCCATCAGGAATTCCTGGCCCTGCTGTTAGGAGCAGAAGCACCTTTTTTGCCTGAAGGGTTGACCTCCCTGGGTGGGGCTGGGTTGACAAGGAAGGGGCCAGGGTTGGAGGGCATTGCAGTGACTGTGCCCCTTGGTCATTTGGTTGGGGACTTTTGCTCAACTCAAAAGAGAGTGGAGATTAATGGAAACCCTCCTGTTGCTGAGACCCATGTTACTGTCAGTTCATCCGGATGGCATGTACCGCCCAGACTGTTGTACAATGTTCATTGTTGCAGATTTTAATCATTTGCATGCTCATCAATTTCTAAAATAAATAGTTCTGTAGTCATAAGAATCCATTGTTTCCAAGGAACTTGCTCAATTACATCATTTCCTATCTGTAGAGAACACTACCAATTTGAAAATCTGATATGAAAGTTGTTTTTTTACCCTCTTGTTAAAAAAAAAAAAAAGAATTTCTTGGTCAAACTAAGTTTCCACGTTTCAAATATTCTGATTCATATTCTTGTTAGTGAAAGAGGAAAGCAAGCTGTCCTGCTCTCTTCCACTGGGGATTTAAATAAAGAGAAATCAGTGAACAAAGTCAGTCCCAAACACTTTCCTGTAAAGTGGAGTATGTGTTACTGAAATACCGCTGCATGTGGAATTACTAACATAATGAGAACAGAAGCGAACAGACTGGAAAATCCATCTCATGGTTTCTATTCCTCTGGCTTTTTGTTGAATAAAATAACTAAAGGTAGAACATTCTTATTCAAGCTGCTTCTGGTGATCCCTGAGCTGCGTTTGATGGTGGTATCAAGCTTTACTGATCTAAAACTGGAAGTTGCTGGTACTCAAGCCAAAAACTCATGCTCTGGCTACGCGAAGGGTTTACTTTGAGCAACATCAGCTGCTAAGTCCTTGTGCTCAGTTCCTATTGAGGAGAGTTGGCTTTTATCCATTTCAAAGTATTTGTAGGCCAGCCAAGGGCTTTCATTAACACGGCTTCTAGTGGCCTCTGGTTAACCTAGAAGTTAGTGGCTTTTTCTTCATGAGACCAACCTTTCACAGCGTTCTTTCGTAGAGACTTAGGCAGAGTTTTAAAATTCTCTTTTGTGAAAAGGACAAATATGTTCCATGACTTTGATGATATCTTTATTCTGGGCAAAAGAAAGGCCCTAGAACTTCCTAGAAGTGAGGAGAATCCATTAATGATCAACCACCTGAGTCAATAATGACAAATCGGTACTGAGGTTACAGTTGTGGGTATTTCTCACTAGCTTGCAAAGGTCAGGGCCTCTCTTGACTAATCTAGTGACTGCAAAAGTCATCTGGCCAGAAGTAGAGATTTTTAACCTTTCTTTCTCTGGCTTTTCTCTTCTAGCTGCCTTTTAAATTCGAGACATTTAAAGTATTAAGAAACAACTGTACTGTACTAGAAGAAACAGTATTTTATAAGACCGAAGCCCTGTTTTATTTAATCTGTGTCAATAAATGCAATATGCCATGTAGTTGGAAACTTTATTTACTGCAGGTGGTTAAGAAAAAAAGAGGGGAAGGGAACCCGCTATCCACAGACAACAAGAGCCGTGAAAAATAGTACCGATGGGAAGAGCTCTGCCTGTTGGTGACGGTGATCCTGTACTGAGGCTCAGGCCGCTGTGGCAGAGCCCTCTAGGTGGGTCCATTGCACCAGGAGCCCCTGAAAGCAGACACTGGGAATTAAGACCTTGACTGGGCAGAGATGGGATCCTTTGGAAGGCATGAGAGGAGAATGGGTAGGAGGCAAATACGAAATTGCTTCCTTGCAGTGACTTGACGGTGGAGTTCATGTTCCTAGGATGCCAGGATGCTAGAGTTGTTAATGTATATTCACAGCTACAGGCTCCTGGGAAACTTGAGAGGAAGTTGCATGTTTTTCTGGGGACATGAGGAAATACGACCTTGCCAAGATGCAGAGAAAGATCTCTAGTCCGTGAGTTCGGTTACAGAGAACACAAATAGTCTTCTTGTAGTCAGTAGAAGATCAAGAGTAAACACTGGTGCCTGTGGTCATTTCTAAGTCCAAGCCAGGGCAGATCTTTGAGCTCCTGCCACAGCTCTGTAAGGCAGTCTCCTGCGGGAGGATGGACAGTATGTGGGCCAGATGGTCTGCTGGGATCGCTTCTGCTTAGAATGAGGGCATCAAATTAGGCGCAGGAGGAGTTAGCATGATACTGGAGGTGTTTGCCCCTACCTGTAAGGAATTTATCATTAATAAAGAGCTCACAGTTAGCAAATATGATTAGAAAAACCTGTGACATAGATGGAGAGTTGTATCTTCCTCTCCTAGTTTGCCAGTCACTTGGCCTATTCAATGCACACTCCGAGAGAGCTGATGTTTTAGACTTCGCCATTCTCTTTGCTTGTGCTGTTAATTCCTCCAGTGTTAACTGATAGGCCATGTGATAGGACAAATTCATACTGTCTGTTCTTGTGTAGACATCTTTAGTGCTTTTCTTATTTTTCCTTTCAGACCTTTGCCATTGGCTTAAGAATGTAGTTCCCAGAACAATTTTTCTTACAAAGTACTTCCCTTACACCTCTTGGCTACAGGGTGGGCCAAATTAAAGACATCTATATTTTCCTTTACTGTATGTGCAGTTCGGTTCGTCATCTGAAGATGGTGGTGCTGTTCATGGTGCTGCTTCATCTGTGTACAAAAAGACCCATGCGTGGTCTGTATTGCTACCAAAACATGTATTGTATATATGTGTATAACATGGATTCTGTATATGTGTAATGGGTTCCAGGCGAGGTATATATTTCTTATTTGGAAGTGTTTCACTTTTCCAAGTTTTCTTTCTAGTGTTCTGCTTATTTTCAATTTTTTTTCCCCCTGATTATGTCTGGTACTTAGAACTGTAGTGTCTTCATCATTAATTAAAGAAAACTGTCTAAATGAATTCACAGATGTGAATGTCGGTGATCCTTAATGTCTTTGGTTACAGGACATGAAAAAGAAACCGCCAATTATAATCTGCTGGGCATTTGGGTAAGAGCATTGTACACTGCTTGATGTACTCGGAGAAATGATTTTGGAACAGATAGAAGTGCCTGGACTTGCAGTGCCCAGGTGCATAAAGAAAAGGCCTCTATCAGTGAGTTTAAGCTGCTTTTGTTGATGGGGTGCAAAAGGAGGAGGGTGAGGTGAGTAAAAATCCATCCTTCTGGTGGAAAGACTTGTATCCCCTTGCTATGCACTCGAATAGCCTTGCTGCCCCGAAATACGCAGATGTAGATCGCCAGTCCCAGGGTTGGGG